ATTTAAAAAAAAAAAGCAAAAACCCTGAAATGGTCTGCATTAACTGAAAAAGTCTATTCTATTGATCAATTCCTGATGTAAATATTATACAAATGAGGAAGTGGTGATTTATTTTTAAATGGTGTTAAGCATTTGGTTAGTTGCCTGTGGAAGAAAATCAGTTTAGATTTTTATTTATAATGAAATAGATTTCAGAAGCCTTAAAGGGGGTTGGGGAAGGAAATCCAGATGAGTGTTTTTAGTTCTAAATTTTATTTTTAGCATGATTTCTGTCATAACTTCGTTCACTCAGTTGTCTGGTGGGAACTTAGTTTTCTGAGTCTTTTGAGATAAAACATTACCTTTTGTTGATGTAGTGTGATTGAGAACATTGTGAGAATCCCATTTATTTCTTTGACTCTCTAGAGTTTAGCAGCATTTAATAATTGCTTATTTGTGTAGACCACTATGCTGCACACAGTAGGAGGAGCCAAGCCATGAGAACATTTTCTACTTCTCAAGCTATTATTTTGTCTGAGATTAGTTATTAACTTTCCTATATATCATAATGTCCATTTCAGATAATCTGAATTGTAGTGAATAGAACAGGAAATCTAATTTGCAAAGTATCTTTGTAATAACTCTAAGATTTGTTTCAATTTGTGATCTACTTAATAAGATGCAGTAATTCATAGAGCCTCTCATTTCCCTGCCCTAAGACTTTATATGTTATAATAAACCATATTTAAGCGTTTACTAGCAAAATAATAGGTTGAATTGATGGAAGAATTTTCTGAGACAGACATTTTTCAGCAGAAATTTATAGGAAGGTGGGGCTGGAAAAAGGCTTGATTGAGTTCTGGAACAAATTGGTACAAAAATGTAAGTGATTACCTTGAGGCCGGGCGCAGTGGCTCATGCCTGTAAACCCAGCATTTTGGGAGGCTGAGGCAGGCAGATCACGAGGTCAGGAGATCGAGACCGTCCTGGCTAATGCAGTGAAACCCCGTCTGTACTAAAAATACAAAAAATTAACTGAGCATAGTGGCATGCGCCTGTAGTTCCAGCTACTCAGGAGACTGAGTCAGGAGAATCGCTTGAACCCGGGAGGCAGAGGTTGCAGTGAGCTGAGATCGCACCACTGCATTCCAGCCTGGGTGACAGAGCAAGACTCTGTCTCAAAAAAAAAAAAAAAAAAGAGCGATTACCTTGAAACTGAAATTTGAGTGACGGCAGAATGAAGGGACAACATCTGAGGAATTTGAAAATGAAAAAGATAACTTCTAAAGGGGATTAATAAGCAATTATATTGGTGGATACGCAAAAATAACTTTTTAAAAATGTAGAGTGACTTGGACTTAATACTTGATGACAGTAATTAGACAACTTTTTGGGAACCAGGCATTGAATAATTAGGTAAAGTGTTTCTTTAAAAAATCTGGTTTTACTTTTTGAACTATGAGAAAGTGCTAGTAATTGGAGCTGTTTTCTCAGAAAAAATTAATAAATTATTTGTATTTTCAGAATTTTGCAACTCGTCATCTATACTATATTATAAATGGAGACTGTTGAAGTCTAAATGAGCATTTTTAAAAAAATTTGAGACAAGGTCTTGCTCTGTTGCCCAGGATGGAGTGCTGTAATGTGATACTGGCTCACTGCAACCTCCACCTCCAGGTCTGAGGCCATCCTCACCCAAGCCTCCTGAGTAGCTAGGACTACAAGCACATGCCCCTATGCCCAGCTAATTTTCATATTTTTTGTAGAGACAGGGTTTTGCCATGTTGTCCAGGCTGGTCTTGAACTCAAGCTCAGGTAATCCACCTGCCTTTGGCCTCCCAAAGTGGATTACAGGTGTGAGCCACTGAGCCAGGCCCTAAATGGAAAATTTGATGTTTAGCCTATGAATGTGCGTTTTTTATATCTCCTATGTCTTCATTCAACTGACATTTGAATATTGATTATATACGTAGGCTCTGTTGGAGGTAGGCAAGTTAGAATCTTTTCTAATGAGGATGTTAAAACACATAAGAAAATACTTGATTGTGAGTCATTATGGTAAGTATAGAAATGAAACAGCTTATTTCTATATGTACTGTAGGGTGTATTTTAAATTTAATCACAGCTGGAATGATGAATATGATTATTTCCTTTGCCGTGCTGTATTTATTTCTCTTTCTTTATCTCTTTCCTTTCCTTTTCCTTTTTCCTTTCCTTTCCTTCTCCCCTCCCTTTCCCTCCCTTCCCCTCCCCTCCCTTCTCCTCCCCTCCCCTCCC